CGGCCGGCCGGGCCCGCCCCCCGGCTTCCGGCGGCGTCACTTCCTCCTGGGGGGGGTGTCGCCGCGGCGCGCAGGCGCGCGGGGAGGCTCCACAGCGAATTCGGCGCCGGGAAGCTCGGGAGGGAAGTGGTGGCCGCGTGGGGCGGGAGGCGGCGATTCCACGTGCTCCCCGCGGCCGGTTGAAACCGTTGGCGGGCTGTGGCCGAGAGGTGAGGGGGTAGCCCAGAGATCCGACTCGGGAGGCCGGGCGGGAGGGAGGCCGCTGCCGCATTTCCATCGTTAGAGCCCCTGCTTCGGCTCGCACGCAGTGCAGGAGGAAATCCGCTCAGATCTTATGCGTGCCCTGGGGTGGAAGGAGGCCTGGATTCGGGGTGGCCAGTTCCTCCCGATCTTAAACGGAAAGGCCCTCGTGCCGGGAACCCCCCTGTCCTGGGCAAACCAGGGTGGTTGGGCGCGGCCGGCCTGGGCTTCAGGCTTGCTGCATGCTGGGGACAAGGTTCTTGTCTTCCCCGAGTCTTGGGGAGCTCGGTCCCCAAAGAGGAGGCCTTAGAGCATAGGGGTTGAGAGCACGGACTTAGGACCAGAATGACTGCGTGTGCATCCGGGTTTGCCACTACCTGGATGTGTGACCTGCTGCAAGTTACTTAAGCTCTTCGTGCCTCAGTTTCCTCGTCTGTCAAAGGGGAATAAGATAGAACCCAACTCAGAGGACTGTTGGGAGGATTAGGTGAGCACAAACGTCTTACCACCTACGACGCGGCTTGGCACGTGGTAGGTGCTCAATAAATGTCGGGATTTTCTGCAGCATCTGCCTCTGAGGAGACAGGGAGGGGAGCAAGGGGGAGCGTATTTGCAAGGCTGACTTCCTGCAGAGAGGGCCCACCTGGCACTTAGTCACACTGCACCCCCGGTCTCCAGCGCTCAGCGTGGTGCTGACAGGTGGTAGACTTATACAGATGGTTTTTCCACCGGCAAAGGGATGCTGATAAAACAAGGCTGGTGATGGAGTGTGTGGGTGAGGTGGAGGGGTAGAGACGTGGCTTAACTTCTCCCAGCCTGTTTGCTCCTCTGTCAAGTGGAGATAGGTGTGCCTGTCTCCTAGGGCTTCTGCAGGGAGCAGGGGAGAGGTCCAGGGTGAATGCATATCGCGACTGTCATGGCCCCCACATTCAGGTGGTTAGGCAGGATGGGGGATAGTGTGTACTTGTGTGTCCTTCCCTTTCACCATACCCTCTTGGAATTTTACCCCCTGGAAGGGGCTCAGGGCTGGTCCAGTTGGCCCGACCCATTGTTTCACAGATGGGAAAACTTAAAGTTCAGAGGGGACAGTAACTTGCTCAGGGTAACAGTGCTCACTGGGGGCTGTTGCCAGCTTGGCCCCTCAGGTGAGCGGAGATGGGGTTTAGGTCTGTGTATGTGTGAGAGAGAATATTTTAAGAATAGTTAACATAGTTTTTGTAAAAAAATAAACACCAAAATATATAGGGAGGAAGGTAAAAAAATAACTCCAGATATAATCCCAGAAGCAAACCTGAGTTGGTGTGATCAGGGAACAGGGCGGTAGAGTAGGCTCCCGTGGGGTGGAGATCCAGAGGAGACTGGAGTGAATTTATGAAGCTAGACGAGTGGATTGAGGGTCATATTTAAAGAAGCATGAGTTTGGGAAGCGACTGGGTGCAATAGTATTGATGTGTAGTTAATAGGTCACTGGAAATTCTTTCTACTATTGAGTAAGGATGAATCTTGCACATCTGGTATCTTTTTTAACTTTCCACTCAATGCTCCAAGATAGATGTTAGACCCAATTTACAGATAAAACAGATGCTGGAAAGTTAAGGTACCTCGAGGTCATTTAGTTTTGAATTGACAGATATGGGCTCCACCTCAGATCCTCTGGCCCTGTGTCCAGGCCCAGTTCAACAGAACCTGGCCACCATCTTGCTAAGAGGAGACTGAGGAGCCTGGATTCCTTCACAGGTTCCCAGTCCCTTACTGATGCTATCTGCTGCCCTCAACTCGGCATCACTGTGCAACAGCAGACATCCTCTGCTGAGACACGGTGGTCTCCTTGCCCGGTACAGGCCGGCCTTAGGATGAAGACTTAGGGTCCTAGTATTTCAAATGGAAGGTCATGAAATGCACGACATCTGAGCCCGGGAGACAGGTGTCCTAAAAGTCTTACTGCAGCATGTTTTCAGCTTTTCTAACTTCCGAAGTATAAATGTTACAGATTTACTAAAAACATCGTTTGAAAGTTTATTTAAATTTCTTTGATATTTATTTAGTCTTGTGAAATCTGAATAAGTTTAATCTTCTGTTGTCGGCAATGCTTGCTATCTTCAGTTGGAGGGACTGAATTTTCAGGTGGGGTCTGTTTGTAAGTTTGTAGCATTACACTTCTGACGTTGTTAAGCCTGCACTGACGCTGGGGACACCCCGTCTGCCGTGCAGTTAGGAGGATCCTGAGCTTGCGGTTCACGGCCCACCCCCGTAGACACACACGTAGGTGTTTCCTGCTTACATGAAAGGTGTTTCCTCGGGGGAGGTCAGGTGTGAAGTGTAATCAAGGTGACTCTTGGCTGGTGGTGGCATGTCCTCTGGGCTCTGAATAAGGGAGGGATAAGCTCCTTACAGACCATATCTCACTAGCAAGCAGGCGGTCACACTGTCCCCATTTCAGATCAAGTGTAAAAATGCAGCGATGGCTCTAAAAGTCCAGAGGAAGGCACCAAGAGACTGAGTTCTGATTTACTGTGCAAGCTACCCATTCTGCCTTTAAAAAAAACTTAACAAATTTCTAAATGTGAACATTCGCCACAAAAGACCAAATGAAAATGGTTGGAGAGGTATTTCTCCAATGGACATGTGACCACATTCTAATCCTCCCTTGAGGTGATGTTTACACTGTGTGTGGTTAATCCCCAGAGGGATGACACGTTTTGCACAGATACTCCGAGCATCTTTTTTGTCAACATCACTGGCTTCTTTCTGCTGATAAATTTTGTTTTCAGCTGTCCTTCTCAGGCCTTTAATTCCTGACCTTCCATGACAGACTGAGTCTCCCCACTGGATCTCAAGCTTGCCGAAACCTTCCTCCCCTCTGCCCGCCCCCTGGATCCAGAAACAGAATAGACCTCCACAGTGAAGGTCGGAAAGCTCTAGGCCATAGCTTAAGTTTGAGGGGGTATGTTTTCATTGTTGCATCTCATTAAGAAAGTACTTTTAAATTTTTCAGCAGATAATTTGGCTCTTCGCAGCTGTTTCTACCTTGTGTGTAAGATGACAGTCCATTTCTTGGTGACTAATTAATGGTTTACTCTTGTCCTTAGACAAAAGTGCCCCTGCAGACTCTGAATTTGATAACGTGGTTTTTGCTGTTGTTCCGGCCTTTCTTCTCCTGTGTGAGGCAGGATGGCTGCTCTCGTTGCCCGTCATTAACTAAGCATCCATCTGCCATGTGCATGTGCAGAATGCTAAGCTTCGAGGGAGCTGGGTCCTAGTCCACGTGACGCCAGCTCCCCGGGACTTGTGACTGTTTTCACACATCTTTACCATAACCAGATGAGAAGATGGTCATGGTTGCCGCACGTCCCAGGACACTCATGTTTGCTCTCCTCTGGATTCGGTGCTAGGCTGCGGCTGACCACATGTCCTCCCTTGCTACCCTTCCCTGATGGTGAGCTGAGGAGGGGGACCTGGGGCCAGGGGCCTGCATTTTATATGTAGCATATCAGGCAAACTGAAGTCCGACAGTGCCCCGCGGGGCAAGAGGCCTCCACGAGAGACTGGCAGGGCCTTTGTAAGCCCTGGAGTAGCAGCCAGGACGTACATTTCCACTCAAGGCTGGATGGACAGGGACAGCCCTGATCCTTGCCTAGGGGTGACCTTTCCAGCAGTGACCCGGAACTTGGGAGTGGAGGAGAGGTGGGGATTCCATGCATGAGAGTTCTCATTTGTGCCGAAGGATTCTTGGATGAAGTCTTACCCTGAAGCAAATTGCCTCAGTTTACTTGATCCTTACCTTCATTTTCATAATGAGGAAGAAAGTGCTGCGTTAAACAGTTCTCAGAATTTTTGTTGTGAAACTTATTTATGACGTAAAACGACAAGGCTTTTAGAATCTAGTGATTAAAAAATTATATAACCATGCAAAGTTACTATGACTTCTGGAACACTTTTAGGTGAATTTGTGTTTTGTTGAGCACAGTAGCATATCCATGAAATTTTAGAATGGGGGTTATATATAAGTGCAGACAAACTTAATCTTGGGCGGTACTCGGGACTCCTGGGTTGTGAACACCCTCCAGTAATTCAGCACCCAGCTTTGGGGACACCTGGATATGGTTCCATTTCTTTCTGATTGACCTGAGAAGAAGCCACACCTACTCTCTGTGCACTAAGACGGAAGGGCACATCCTCGTATTTTAACACCTGTGGATACATTGTTGTGCCTATATGAATGCTTTTTGTGCTTATAGAATTGTTTTTAGGCCTCTTCTCCACTTTCTAAACCTCCTTCAGTTTCCCTTTTGCTCTGTTCTTATGGTATTTGAGGACCTGAAATAATTTGCAGTGCACACCTAAAGGCATTAGAGAGAGAAAGAACACATGTGCACTTAAAGTTATTAGAAAAAGTAGGATATTTTGCTTAATGCCCCCAAAACTCTTCATCTCTAGAGGCAGGCTGCCAAGTTTAAATCTTGGTTCTGCTACTGTGACCTTGGGCAAGTTATTTCATCTCTCTGTGCCTCAATACCTCATGTAAATTGTCGACAATAATAGTCCTTCCCTCACAGGGTTGCTGTGTGGATTAAATGAGTTGATAGATGTAAAGCCCTTGGAATAGTGCCTGGCACACAGTAAACATACACTCCACAAATGTTAGCCATTATTATCACTGTTAATTGTAATTTTACTTACATGGTGGTAGGGTTTATATAGATTGCTAATCACCTTTGATTCTGTTGTGTAGTTATTATCATGTGAAATTAGGGTTGAGAAGTTAGCTGTATGAATCATTTATTTGGAATGGAAGTTTCAGATTATAATGATAATTATCTTTTTTACCTTTCTAATCTTTTTTTAGGACAAGACTTCACCCTATCTTGGATAGACAATATTTAATCATTTAGCAAAAATGGTATTTTTTACATGCAATGCATGTGGTGAATCAGTGAAGAAAGTACAAGTGGAAAAGCACGTGGCTATTTGCAGAAACTGCGAATGCCTTTCTTGCATTGACTGCGGTAAAGATTTCTGGTAAGTTCCACATAATTCATGTAGATCCACAGTAAAGGTCCAGTTTTGGAAGCCCTGACCCCACAAAGCTTTAAAAGAAAATGAAGCAAATTTGAGGAAAGAAATTAAGAAAACATTAAAAGTGCTTTACAAGACCATTTGCATTTTAAGGACGATTTAAAGAGAAGACTAAGGGAAGGGGAGTTAAGATGATTAGAGATCTGATCAGTCAGTGGCTCTTGCTGTCTTTTTCCCACCATTACCAGACCCAGGGAGGTGACCACACTGAGTAGGTTTTCAGAATTGTGGTGTGTTGATCACACTGAAGGGATGGATTTATAGACCAGGAAACGAATTTATTAGTTCACAGTGGAGGGTATTGGGGAGAAGAGACTAGGTCCTCCCTAGAAAATTAGAGGTAATAGGGGGAGTGAAGCTCCTCCTGGCGCTTCCACTGAGGGGGTCTCTGGAAAGGTGAGGACTTAGAGGGAGGGACCAGATCCACTGTTTCTGAAGGAAGGCCATTTGCAGATGGCTAATGCTGATGCCCCTTCAGCTTCAGAGGGTTCAGGGGAAAAGGCGGCTTTTGGTGCATCTGCCCCAATGTCCGCTGTGGCATTTGGACGATATTTGCTAACAATTCATTTTAATTTCATTTCAGAGAAGTGATATTTAAAAAAATTTTTTTGGGAACTGCTAATACCTAATCCTAGGAGGAAGCTTGGTATATAAAACAGGTGAAAATTGGGTTTTGCCCCTGACCTTGTCCCAAACATCTCTGTGAGGACCCCATAGAGCTTCATAAAGATTATATGAGACAGAATTGAGTTTCCTTTTTTCCAAGACTCTGAGATCCAGAACATGTTAGTAACCTGATACCACCATTGTATACCAGCTTTTAACTTATTCTATAGCTGATTATTAATTGCGTGCTGTATTAGCAGGAAATCATACAGATTTTGTAATTTAGGATAAAACCACCCTATTGCACAGAATTGTTTTCTTTTTTCTTCAGTATATATTCACTTATGACTAAAAAAAAATGTTACCTATCAATTTGGTTTAAGACATTTGTATATAAAGATGGGTGGAAAGTTTGGTGGTGAGTTTTATATTGAACAGTTTGGAGGAAGGAATGTGGTTATGACCAGGAGGTTATAAGCACAGTAAGTGAAATGGTAGGGTGCGTATGCAGTGGACAGGTGTGAAATACAAGTGTGGACTGCAGATGGTCAGAGCAGCATGCTAGCGTGAGACAGAGACTCCAGTTTGAAAATCAAGCTAATGGTGGAACCTTTTATCACTTTAAGGGGTGACGACTATAAAAACCATGTGAAATGCATAAGTGAGGACCAGAAGTATGGTGGCAAAGGTTATGAAGGTAAAACCCACAAAGGCGATATTAAACAGCAGGCATGGATTCAGGTAAGGTCTTTCTAATTCATTGAGTAGCTTCATCTGACACCTTCTACTTTCTTTGGAAGCCTGAGAAACTAAGAATAAATGCCTCATTCCTACAGACCAGACCCAGAAACATCATGTGTTAGGATAGACTGAAGCTGAGCAACTAAGCCTTCTTGAAAAAGAGTTCTTTCTTTCTCTGTTAATACAATTGCAACGTATTTTGTCTTTAATCTGTATGTTTGACAGATTTCTTGCAAAAATATTTCAGAATTCTCATTAGCTTTCCCTTGGCAAATCTGTATCTGCCTCTAGTGGTAATGCAACTTTTCTAACTCAAACCATGTTAATCTATCATGTCTGTCAGTCATCAGATTTGGGCAAAATAAAGACATTTTCACAAATATGAGGAATTTTCTACTTAACTAAAATAAAATGAAAACATGTACAACAAAAATGGCAAAAGCAACGAAATCTCTAATTCACTGAGAGGTATAACTTCCAGAATGTTACTCACCTTTTACAGAATAGATAGCAGGAGGAAGGATTCAGAAAGGAAGGTGGGAGAAAGAAGACAAATGTCATCTATGTGGAAATTCTGTATTTTTCTAGAAACAAAGTAAATAGTTACTCTCTGATGATAGAGCTTAAATGTGAATTTGCTGATAATGACTAGCTTACTCAGTCAGCCAACTCCTGGGAGGGAGAGTCTTGGGTTCACAAAGGACTCACAAAGTCTGCCCAGTGCAGGTTGAGAAGCTAGTGAAATGCCCTATCTTAACTAAGATATTTAGGCTGGCCACCATCAGCCACACTTTTGGGCCCTGTTATCTGTAATCTCCCTGAGAACTAGACATTCCTAGGCCCCTAAGCTGAGGTACCTGGGTGTATGAGTTCCATCTCTGTTGACATCACATCTTGAATGAAACCCTCTACAGCAGAGGTCATCAAACTATGGCCCATGGGTCAAATCTGGCCCACCACCTCTTGGTAAGTAAGGTTTAGTGGTGCACAGCCATGTCCATAGTTTCCGTATTGTCCATGGCTGCTTTAGTGCTGCAAGGGCAGTGCTGAGTAGTTAGGACCTAAACTGGATGGTCTGCAAAGCTTAAAACCTTTACTTTCTGGCCCTCTACAGTAAAGGTTTGCTGACCCTGCTCTAAACTGTCAGGCTTCAGCAGCCGTGTCACTGGGTCAGAGATCAAGAACTTGACTTTGGGTTCTGCCCCGGTCCACTCGCCATCTGATTCCTCCCAACTCTCTAGTTGACATTGTTAACAGATGGATAAGACTAAAGGTGGTATGCTGGGAGGATAAACAGGGCCTCCTGTGACCAATCTGACAGAGATGGATTTGGGGGTTTTGTTCTTTTCCTTAACTCCTTAAACCCTTTATTTTTCAAGATTGAATTTTGGAATCCTGTCAGTGTTAACGTTCGCTGAGCATCCTTCCAGATGTCTCTGTGCTGACACACAGAGAGTGGATAAATGATCAGGAAAAAATACCCGCTTGCATGGGTCACAGTGTTTCCTCCAAACTTGGTCACCCGTGTTCTGTTCTCTTCTGCCTCTCAGCACACCACTCCGGTCAGCGCTGAGCCAGCCTGACGTCTGCCTTGTTCATGTTTGGCTCCTTTTCTTGATTTGTTTTTCTGCCTGGAGAAGCTTTGCCTTATCCTCGTCTTAGTATCCTGTATCCATTTTTCTAGTCTGTTTATATATAGCTTCCATTCTTTCCTAACACAGGGGCATTTTCCTGCATTGTATTTGTTTAGCTGCATCATTTGTCCATATTTGGCTCATCGGTGACCATCTTTCTTGTGTGCTGTCATCTCGCTAACTTTAATCATTATCTTTTTCCTCTGCCTTCACTGATTGCCATAAGCATTTTCTCTAGGTCACTTATTTAATTTTCATCTCTGTTCTGTTCTTGCTATTTCAGATTTATTTATTAGATCTTAATGCTGTTGTCTTGGTCCTCAATTGATTTCCTAGTCCCTATAATATCCTTTTTTTGTCTCATTCTTTTGATTACTTTTGGCTTGTTATATTCTTTTTTTTCCAGTATTTTTATTTTTTTTATTTTTATTTATTTATTTATTTATTTATTTTAAAGATTTTATTTATTTTATTTTTCCCCCCAAAGCCCCAGTGGATAGTTGTGTGTCGTAGCTGCACATCCTTCTAGTTGCTGTATGTGGGACTCGGCCTCAGGATGAACGGAGAAGTGGTGCCTCGATGCGCACCCGGGATCCGAACCCGGGCCACCAGCATCGCAGCGCGCGCACTTAACCACCAAGCCACAGGGCCGGCCCTCCAGTATTTTTAAATTCTGGTAAATTATACATGACATAATGTTTACCATTTTAACCATTTTTAAGTATAAAATTAAGAACATTCACATTGTTATGCAACCATCACCATCCATCTCCAGAACTTTTTTATCTTCCCAAACTGAAACTCTGTCCCCATTAAACAACAACTCCCATTCCCTCCTTCCCCCACGCCTGGCACACAGCATTTTACTTTCTGTCTCTATGAATCTGACTGCTCGAGGTACTTCATATAAGTGAAATCATATAGTATTTGTCTGTTTGTGCTGGCTTATTGCACTCAGCATAATGTCTTCAAGGTTCATCCATGTTGTAGCTGTGTCAGAATTTCCTTCCTTTTTAAGGTTGAGCAATATTCCATTATATGGATAGACCACATTTTGTTTATCCATTTGTATGTCAATGGACACTTGCATTGCTTCAGTCTTTTGGATATTGTGAGTAACATGGCTGTGCACAAAGGTGTACAAATATCTGAGTCCCTGCTTTCAGTTCTTTTGAGCGTATACACAGAAGCAGAATTGCTGGATTTTTTACATTTTTTGAGGAACCATCATACTGTTTTCCATAGTGACTATACCATTTTATATTCCTATAAGCAATGCACAAGGGTTCCAATTCCTTCACGTCCTTCCCAACACTTATTTTCTGTTTTTTTGATAATAAACATCCTAAGGAGTATGAAGTGGAACCTCATTGTGGTTTTGATATGTATTACCCTATTGATTAATAATGTTGAGCATTTTTCGTGTGTTTATTGGCCATTTGAATGTCTTCTTTGGAGAAATGTCTGTTCAAGTCCTTTGCCCATTTAAAAAAATTTTTTTTGCTTGAGGAAGATTAGCCCTGAGCTAACATCTGTGCTAATCTTACTCTATTTTTTTTTGTGTGTATGTGGGTCACTGCCACAGCATGGCTGATGAGTGGTGTAGGTGCGTGCCCGGGATCTGAATCTGCAAACCCGGGCTGCCAAAGTGGAGCATGCCGAACTTAATGACTACGCCACGCCTTTGCCCGTTTTTAATTGGGTTGTTTCTGTATTGTTGAGTTGTAGGAGTTCTTTACATATTTGAGTCAACACCTTATTAGATAAATGATTTGCAAATATTTTTTCCCATTACATGAATTGCCTCTTCACTCTGTTGATAGTGTCTGGTGCACAGAAGTTTTTTATTTTTGATATAGTCCAATTTATTTTTTTCTTTTGTTGCTTGTGCTTTTGGTGTCATATACGAGAAATCATTGCCAAATCCAATGTTGTGATGCTTTTTCCATGTGTTTTCTTCTAAGCATTTATGATTCTAGCTATCAAGTTTAGTTCTTTGATGCATTTTAAGTTAATTTTTGTAAATAGTGTTAGGTAAGAGTTGAACTTGATTCTTTTGCCTGTGGATATTCACTTATCTCAATACCATTTGTTGAAAAGACTGTCTTCTCCCCATCGAATGGTCTTGTCACCCTTGTTGAAAGTCATTTGGCCATATATGAAAGGGTTTGTTTCTGGGCTCTCTATTCCATTGCTCTGTATGTCTGTCTTCCGATCCACAAACACAGAATGTCTTTCCATTTATTTGTGTCTTTAATTTCTTTCAGCAATAGTTTCCCGTGTACAAGCCCTTCACTTCCTTGGTTAAGTTTATTCCTAAGTATTTTATTCTTTTTGATGCTATTGTAAATGGAATTGTTTTCTTAATTTCCTTTTCAGATTGTTCTTTGTTGGTGTGTAGAAATGCAACTTAATTTTTTTTTTTTTTTTTTTTTTGGTGAGGAAGATTAGCCCTAAGCTAACATCCACTGCCAATCCTCCTCATTTTTTGCTGAGGAAGATTTGGCCCTGGGCTAACATCTGTGCCCATCTTCCTCTACGTTATACGGGATGCTGCCACAGCATGGCTTGACAAGCAGTGTGTCGGTCTGCACCTGGGATATGAACCTGCAAACCCCGGGCTGCTGAAGTGGAGCACGCGAACTTAACTGCCACGTCACCGGGCTGGCTCCAAATGCCACTTAATTTTTGAGTGTGGATTTTGTACCCTGCAACTCTGCTGAATTTGTTTATTGGTTCTAACAGGTTTTTTTGTGGACTCTTTAGGGTGTTCTACTTATAAGATCATCTTGTCTGTGAACAGAGATAATTTTACTTCTTCCTTTCCAATTTGCATGCCCTTTATTTCCTTTTCTTGCCTCGTTGCTCTGGCTATGACTTCCAGTACTATGGTGAATTCGTAAGCATAGAGATTAATATAGAATGTGGACTTGAAATGTGAACCCTCTAGCCATTAGAAGGACACTTAGTTTGGCTTTCATGAAACTCACGTCAGTTGTTTATTGTTTTTGTTTTGTCTTCCTTTTTTGTAGAAAATTAATGAATTAATGAAAAGACCCAATGTCAGCCCCAAAGTGAGGGAACTTTTAGAGCAAATTAGTGCTTTCGACAATGTTCCCAGGAAAAAAGCGAAATTTCAGGTATGTATTTGATACAGCTTCCCTGACTGGAGGGGGTGTAGCCCATTGGTGACTGAGCATGTACCTGTCAAAATGGGGTAAGTTGGTTTTTTTTCTTTTTGTTCTTTACAGAATTGGATGAAGAACAGTTTAAAAGTTCATAATGAATCTATTCTGGAGCAGGTGTGGAATATCTTTTCAGAAGCTTCCAGCAATGTAAGTCAGATCTAATTTTAGATTTGTAGTGTGGCAAAAATGATTAGTAATAATGAAATGGGAATGTCTTATTTTTGGAGGTCAAGACAGCTTTCTTTTTCAGAGAGCCTCTTTGTGCCTTCATTTATGGGAAGGAATAAACTGAATGCACTTCAGAGAAGATGTCCTTATTGTGCAGAGAAAGGTACTTAATCCCAATGTTTGATAATGGTAGCAGCTAACGTGAAAGTATTTGCTTAGAAATCAGGCAGCAGGATGTATTGGAAAGAACATGAGCTTTGGGTGTCTGACAGACCTGGTTTGAATCCCTGCTGGGCTGTTTGCCACACATTTGATCTTGGGCACATTATTTAACCTCTCTGAGCCTCAGTTTCCCTTTCTTAAGAAAAAGGTGGGTAGTCATCGTCATTCGTTTACTCAGTCCTTACTGACTGCCTGCTCTGTGCCAGGCCCTGAACATAAAATATAAATTCTCTCGCTGGTGATAGTGCCAGGAGGAAAATAAACAGGTGAGGACGTTGAGAGTGACTGCGTGTTCTCTCAGGTAGGGGTGGGTCCCGGAGGGCCCCTTACAGTTGTGGTATTATAGTAGACGAGGCTCTAAAAGCATCCATCTTGTGCCCAGCATTTAGTGGGCACTCAACGAGTGTTTGTCTCCCTCCTTCTGGTGGAGGGAGAATTCCTTTGGAATAATTCAGTCACCTGCCTGTCAGTGAAAATGGTTTGATCGGAGACACCCCCGATGTAATATACACATGAAGAGAGTCTCAGTTTGATATCTTGTAGCCACACTGTTGGTTACATTGTTAATTTCAATTTTTTCCCCATTAATTCAGTTTTATTTTGCTCCTATTTGGAGCTTATATCTTTGGAGACTTATATTATTAGTAGTTTCAAAAAAAACAGTGGGGTCTTTTATTCTAATCACATTGTCAAGTGTTTTTTTGCATTATAGAGAATAGTTTTGGTATTAAATTGGGATAAAAATGAAACTTTGTCTTAGCAGTATTTCTAGCATTTGTCTCTTTCAGAATATATAAATTGGGCCTTTGAAACCTTATAACCAATCATTTAATTGACATTTATGTGGCACCTGTTTTTTAAAGGTTATTTCCATTATTTTAACTAAGAATCAAAGATTTGAAATTACTTAGTTCGACTATAGAGTTTAAAAACAAGTCTTTCCCATTTCCCTTTTGAAGCTGTGAGCATATTAAGAATAAAATACAATAATCGGTAAACAGCTCATGGTAAACTCTGAGCTCTGACAGATATGCCTGTTCTTGCTTTGCCTTTGCCCCTGAACCTCACAGCACATCCCAGTGTTTGTGGAGGTGCCGTTCGTTCATACCTCCAGTGTCTTTCCCTCCTGCTTACTATGCACTGGGCATTAGGTTGGAGGCTTTATATCCTTCTGTGCTGTAATACCCTCTATACCCCAGCACAAATGGTGCCTGGTGTCTGTATGCAACCATAATCAGGCCAAAGTCCTGCCCTCACAGAGCTGTATTCTAGTGGGGGAGACAGACAACAACATATGAATATGGGTTTATGCTCTAATGTCAGGTTGTGATAAGCACTAGGAAGAAGCAGATGGCAGGAGGAGGGTCACAGAGTAAAGGAGGGGCTCTGTTAGGTAAGAGGGTCAGTGAAGGTGTCGCTGAGGAGACCACATTTGAGGAGAGACTGGAATGAAGTAGGAAAATGGGGAATGAATTTGTCACTCATGTACTGAGCAGCTGCAAGATGAGGTGAATGTGCATCTACCTTCCTCCCTCTCTTTCCTCTTTCCCTCTATCCCAGTGGCGAGGAGTTGGTTCGGATGCAGGGGTGAGGCACCAGCTAGAGACTTGGTCTGAGTTGTGCGGAAGGAAGCCTAAGGTCTTTGGCACTCGGTAGTTATAATAATACCTGACTATAAGATATGAACAAAATTGTAGGATGGGTGTGGAGTGTCTTTGTCCCCTTCTTCCTCCTGAGTCCATTTCTGAACTCATTTTCTGCCTTCTGCCCCCCATGCGCTTGGACTAGTGGATTTCTCTAAACTGCTACTGAAAAGACTCCAACTAGTTAGTTGAACGTTTGTCTCCTAAATGTTACTCTTGTGGCCAGGGGTTGAGCATTAAGGTCTGAGTGAGGTGTGACCTTTGTAGAGTTCTTGTACTTGAGTGAAAGCCGATCCTTCTTTATTTGGTCCACCTTGGGGGACAGTAGTTCCCTCCTTGTGACCTCGTCTCCCGAAGGAGGCAGACTGGAGGTGACTTGTCTGAGTCACCTGGCTGGTAACTAGCAGAGATGGAACTTGGACCCAGGTCTACAGACGCTTAAATCCAGTGGTTTCCACCACCCCTGAAGCTGCCCCAGAGCTGCTGCCATTGACCCCCTCCCTCCGCCTCCAGGTGCATTAGGGCTCACAGAGCAGTTAACAAATTGCTCTGTGTCATCTCTTGAGAAGGGGCTGGTGGAGAGACTCCGGCATATTTAGAGTCAGGGAGTACAGCAGGCAATGGGGCTAGCCATGCTGAAGTCATTTTTAAGACGGATCTCAGTGCTGATTTGAATAAGGTAGTGCAGTAAAGGAGAGTGGACCTTATTCCAGTGCTTGTGGTTGTTTAGTTTTCCATGGTTCCTTGCTCACCATTCTTCACACTCTGTCCTGGTGTCCCTGACCCTTCCCCTGAGGTAACCATCTAATCTGAATGATGATGACAAAAACAGTACCTCTGTCTAGTACATGGTAGTTTACAAAACCCTTCCCATACATTGGGCCGGTTTATTGAGCATCCACCGTGCTAAGCACATGACATGTCTTTTTGCATTTTATTCGTACATTAACTGCATAAGGTAGGTGTTACTACCTTTCATTTTATAGATGAGGAAATAGATTCAGAGCAGATAAATAACTTGCCCGCTGTCACCTGGCTGGTAATGAACAGAGCTGGAACTTGAACCCAGGTCTGCAGATGCATAAATCCAGTGGCCTGCCACACCTAAGCTCTTATCTTTTATTGCAAAGAAAGGTGGATAGTGAGCCACAATTAAAGGTCTGGCTTACGTGATGAAAGGATTCTTCACTCTTCCCATGGAATGAAAATGTCTGTTAAACACAGAGAGGGGTGTGGCCGGGGAGAGTTATTCCTAGTTTGTATATTTATTGCTGCATTTTAGCTATTGTTCAGTATTTAGCACAGTTATAAAATGGTAAGTAATAAAGACATTTTTCTTGGAACAGTTTCTTCAGTGGATACATATAGTGGTGTGAACAACTGTGTCTAGAGAGTATTTATGTGTTTCTTGGTTTTGCTTAATAATGAGGAACCAGTCAGTAAGGGGCAGGATCAACAGCAACTCAACCAAGTGGCCAATCCACGCGCAGAAATCTCCACCAAGCTTCTGTCTTCCAAAGCAAATGACACCACGGAAGAACAAGCAGAGGTGAAGAAGAATAAAAGAGAAAGGAAGGAAGAACGGCAGAAGAAGAGAAAAAAAGAAAAGAAAGAACTAAAATTAGAAAACCATCAAGAGAATTCAAAGAGTCAGAAGCCGAAAAAGCGCAAAACGGGACAGGAGGCTGGAGTGGCAGACAGCCCCGAGGCCAGCGGCTCCGCAGGGAAGCAGAGCCAGAGGAAGAGGAGCAAGGGCTTGTGTGCTGAGGAGGGGGGAGTGGATGGAGACGTGGATGAGGAAGAGACAAAAACCGGTCCAGGAAAAAGAAAGCGGAAACATTCGGAGGGTATGTGGCTAGCTTATGCTCCGGGGCTTGTTACAAACATTTCAAAGCTGTGAATTTGGGATATATAAAATCTGTTAGCCCTTGCATTTTGAACCAAGTAAGGCAAAGAGCATAAGCTTTGCGATCGGGCCAACCTGGACTCAGTCCAGGCAAGTGACCTTACCTGTCAACTCCCCGTTTCCTCATCTGATGTGGAGCAGGGGAAACCCCACGGTGCTGGGTTGCTTGGGGAATGGGCGAGATGATGGATGTAAGGGGCCTGACCATGTATGGCTCTCGTTAAATGGTAACTGTTATCATGAATACAAAATCTTTTTTTTTTCTTCAATCTTTCTAATTACTTAGTTGAAGCAGAGTCTAAGAAGAAAAAGATGAAGTTACCAGGACATTCTGAGGGTGGAGAACCAGAAAACCATGAGGCTCCTGCAAAAGGTATCGCTGCCATCATTGGGAAAGCTCTGTCCTCTTTAGGGTGGGGAAGGAGGAGAGGAACTCTAGCCTTCTGGCGGGTCGTACCCTCTAGAGGCACATGGAGGAATTTGAAAGCAAAGTAAGTTCTGTAGGGTGTGACTCCAAAGAAATGAATGAGAGCTGTGTGAGGCACTCTTACAGTGTCTCTGTCTAGCTTTAAAGATAAAAGGTAAAGCTATCGGGATTGGAAATATATGTTGTCTTTGGAATTTAAAATAAACCCAGCATGGCTTTCCAAGCCCGTGTTCCCTTTCCCCTCCCCCTGCTTCGCCTGTCCCTCCCTGCCTCTCATTACTCTCCTAGAAGTAACTTGAGGTGCAGGCAGACTTGGCTGTTCCCTCTCCCCATCTCTGGGCCTGTTCCTGGTGTCTCCTTGCTTGGCACTCCATGGCCACCCTCTCCCTAAGCCAGAAGGTGTACTTGTCAGAATCCAGTCCCTGGTCTTCCAGGTTCCTCTTGAATTGTGCCTCCTCCACAAAGCTGCTCTTGCTCCTTGGGCCTGAAGCATTCCCTAGGGTCCTGCCAGTCAAGAACAGACCCAAGGACTCAAGTGGGAATTGAGGCTTTATTAACGGAGGTTCAATAACTGCCCAAGTTGGGTTAGATCTTTTATTTTTTTATTTTTATTTTTTGTGAGGAAGATCAGCCCTGAGTTAACATCCGTTGCCAATCCTTGTCTTTTTGCTGAGGAAGATCGGCCCTGGGCTAACATCCGTGCCCATCTTCCTCTACTTTATATGAGATGCCGCCACAGCATGGCTTGACAAGCGGTGCATCGGTGTGCGCCCAGGATCTGGGCCTGCGAATCCGAGCTGCCGAAGTGGGGTGTGTGCACTTAACCCCTTGTGCCACTGGGCTGGCCCCTGGGTTAGATCTTTTAGCTTGGAACCCCTCCCCAACCTTGTGTATCTGAGGCTTTTTTTTAAATTAAATTTCATGTTTTGAGATAATTGTAGAGTCACATGCAGTTATAAGAAGTAATGCAGACTTGTGTATCCTTATGTATCCTTTACCCAGTTTCCTTCAAGGGTAACGCTTTGCACAACAGTACAGTATGTCACCAGGGTGTTGACACTGATACAGTTGGGAGACAAATGTTTCCATCACCATGAGGATCTCTCCTGTTGCCCTTTTATAGCCATGCCCACTTCCTTCTCGCCCCCACCACCTCCTGTACTCCAGCAATCACTAATCTGTTCTCCATTTCTATAATTTTGTAATTTCAGACTGTTACATAAATGGCATCATTTAGTATGTAACCTTTTGTGATTGGCTCTTTTCCCTCAGCATTAATCTCTGGAGATTCATCCAGGTTGCTGCACATATTAATAATCCATTGCTTTTCATTGCTGAGTGGTATTCCATGGCATGGATGTACCACAGTTTGTTTAACCATTCGTCTATTGAAGGACATCTGGGTTATTTCCAGGTTATGGTTATTATGAATAAAGCTGCTATAAACATTCATGTACTGGTTTTTGTGTGAACAGATTTCATTTTTTCTGGAATAAATGTCCAGGAGTGCAGTAGCTTGTAGTATGGTAGTTGCAGGTTTAGTTTTTTAAGAAACTGCCAACATTTTCAAGAGTCACTGTACCATTTTATATTCCCATGAGCAGTGTGTGCATGATCCAGTTTCCCCACGTCCTGGCCCACATTTGGTGGTGGTATTGTTTTTTATTTTAGCATTCTGATCGGTGTGTAGTAAAGCTCATAGTGGTTTTAGTTTGTATATCTCTAATGAGATTGAATATCGTTTCATGTAGTTATTTGCCATCTGTGTATCTCGTCACTGAACTGTCTGTTCTTGCTCATTTTCTAATTGGATTATCTGGTTTTTTTTTTTTAGTTGAGATTTGAGAGTTCTTTATTTATTTATGTATTCTAAATATTAGTCCTTTGTGCGATGTGTGGTTTGCAAGCTTTTTTTTTGTTCAGTCTGTAGCTTGTCTTTTCATCCTCTTAAGAGAATCTTTTGTAGAGCATAAGTTTTTAATTTTGATGAAGTCTAATTTGTCAATTTTTCCTTTAATAGATCAAACTTTTGGTGTCAAGTGTAAGAGCTCTTTGCTTAGCCCTAGATCCCAAAGATTTTTTTCCTATGTTTTTTCTAAATGTTTTATAGTTTTACATTTTACACTTAAGTCCATGATCCATTTTGAGTTAATTTTGTACGTAAGGTATGAGACTTAGTTCATTTTTTGCCCGTCAGTGTCCAGTTGCTCTAGCACCATTTGTTGAAAAGGCTATCTTTTCCCTCATTGAATTGGTTTTGCACCTTTGTCAAAAATCAGTTGGGCATATTTGTGTAGGTCTATTCTGGGTTCTTTATTCTATTTCGTTGATTGTGTATCTGTCCCTCCACCAATAAATACTACACATTCTTGATTACTGTAGCTATATCAGAAGTCTTTAAATTGGGTAGGCTTATTCCTCCCACTTTATTCTTTTTCAAAATTAAGTTTAAGAATAATCTTGGCTATATCTACAAAAAAAATCTTGCTGTGATTATATAGGAATTGCATTATACCACTATATCAGTTTGGGGAGAATTGGTATCTTAATTATGTTGAGTCTTCTAGTCCCTGAACATGGTATGTCTTTCTATTTATTTAAATCTTCTTCAATTTCTTTCATTAGCATTATGTATTTTCAGCATACAAGTCTTCATCTTCCCAGGAGCAGAAGTCCCCTAGATGAGTCTTTTAGCCCACTGTATAGTAATTATTTGTGGCTGTCCTCTCTCTTATTCAAGGTTAAGCTCCTTTTGCTCATCTTTGTCTTGCTTACCGCGCTTAGACAGCCCCATGATCTTAGTGGATACTTAGTAAATCTTCTTGAGTTCATTAGATACAACTCTGTCTTCTCACAGGAACTTTGTAGTGGTGATGGTACTTATGATACTTAGTTAACCTGCTCACTCTAAGAACGAGTACTGTGAAGGGTAGTCAGTGCTTCTAGGCCACTGTGATTGGATGAGTCAAGTGCCTGCTCCACGGTACCATGGTATCCTCTTCATTCAGCGTTAGTTCATTTCCTGGGTAGCTAATAGATGTTGTAGAAATTGTTTCTTTACCCTCCTGGTAGTACAACAAAACAAAATGTTTTACACATTATTCTTTATATTGTAGGTAAATTCAACTGGAAGGGGACTATTAAAGCAGTTCTGAAACAGGCCCCAGACAATGAAATAGCAATCAAAAAGCTACGGAAAAAGGTATGGTGCATGAATCCAGGTATATGATCTGGGAAGAATGAGTTCTTTATTTTAAAATGTACAGTTTTGTTTTTTAAAAAAATCTAAAATACCATAAACGTGTGTGTATATCTCTGACTTTACGCTGCTCCAGGAGCCCCTCAGGGCTTGTGGGGAGGGAATGGGCCAAATCCCATGCCACTCCTCGGCCACAGCAGTGCCTGAATTAAATTTGAAAATTATTTTTGTAGATATTTTAGTGTCTTTTGATTATTCCAGAGCAATGGTTTCTTCTCTCTTTGTTTAACCTTTTATCTGTCTGACATGGGTGGAGCAAAGTGCTCACACGTGTACAGCTGCACGAGTTTTCACAAGCAGAACACACCTGTGTTACCAGCACCTTGGTTGCTTTGTTTTTTTTACTGTTGGCCTACTTCTGGGTTAAAGAACATTTTAGGCAAATTTTCAGGACAAATGCACCCACTTGACAATTGTTTTTTTTGTGAAGATTTTAGCTCAGTATTATGCTGTGACAAATGAACATCACAAATCTGAAGAGGAACTCCTGGTCATCTTTAACAAGAAAATCAGCAAGAACCCGACCTTTAAGTTATTAAAGGATAAAGTCAAGCTTTTGAAATGAACATTTTCATATTTAAACATTGAATCCATTCTGCTGATTTCTTCCTTTCACTGCTGTTTGTAAAACATGTAATGAATCATAACAACTCAAATTTTCCTTTCCAAAACTGTATTTTTAATTTAAGAAAAATATATATTTTTGGTAGAACTTTTATGAGAAAATAAAATATATTCTTATCCAAAATTCTAAATTTGTAGTGGTGAAAATTACTGTACCTTAAAAAATACTTTTATGTGGAAAATATTTTTAAATGTGACAAGTCAAAAAATAATTCCTCCTTTGGTCAGACTAAAAAGTACTTGTTTTAACTACATCATTACTATACATTTTCAATTAGAAGTTTTTTGTGGATTTATTTTTTGTGTTGTTAAAACATGTATATGAATTGCAGTATTTCATCCAGGAACAGTCATAACAACGATCTTTTGTGTGTGATAATCCTTACCCAGCCAGAAGTTCTGCTCTGTAGAGGAGGTTTCTCTAACAGTTTGGCCCATCTACACTGTGGCCCAGTCTACCTTCAGCTGAAGATTTGCCCGAGACTAGATTTCAGGGTGTGGTCTTTGACCAGGTTCAGAGAAATAGATCGTTTGAGACTGAATCCAGTATTTAGCTGTATTGCTGTTCCAGTGCTCTCGTGGACTGAAATGCTTTCAGGAATGGTATTGTAAATCTTAGTTGATTGTACTGGAGGAGAGTAGGCCACTTTTTGATATGTGAGTAGGTTTTGCCCACAAGTCCCTTAAAAGCTGCTGCGTGTGATAAGCATCACCCCCTTAACCAGTGTTAACTATCATCGTTAACAGTATCTCATAGCACGGGGGAGAGCGAGGATGGGACACGGAATAAGTGTTAAAAGGATTAGGAGGGAAGATTTACAGGAGGAGGGGGCAAAAGGGCAGACGGAGATGCTCTCTGAGCCTCTGAGTTCCCTTGTGAGCCGAGGAGCCAGCCTCTCCCTGGACTTGCGGGCTGAGCTGAGCAGCAGTGTGTCTGCTTCTGATCTGGGGACAAGCCGCTGTGTAATGAGGGGATTCAGTGGCCCTGTGTCAGGATGAAAGAGGGCCTAGGCTTTAGAATTAGGCCTGGAGTCAGGCCCTGGCTTGGTCCCTTAATAGTTAACCTTTCTGAGCCTCACTTTTTTCATCTGGGTAATGGGATAGTACAGGTCCCTCTTAGGTTGTGAGTGAATGAACTAATTTGTGTAAAGTTCACAGCACTGTACCTAAGACCCAGTAGACAGTCATTCAGTGGTTGCTGTCACTACTGTTATTGTCATCAGTAACAATTTTTGGGTCATGAGAAGCTTTAGACATTTTGGAATGCAAAGAAAAAGTGAAGTTTGACCCAGACCACATACCTAATTAGGGACAAAAGCAGAATCCAGCTGTGACTCCTAAGTCCAGTCCAGGACATCTTCCTGCCCCAGGGAGCAGGACTGTGTTCCACTGTCCTCCCAGTGCACAATGAGGGGTGCAGAGCTGCTCCCTAAGAGTGACTCGTTGGTGTACAAGCACCACAGTCTTTCAAGATTTATGCTGATTTTTATCTTTCTTTCAGTTTCACTGTGATGCATTTAAAGCAAAATTAGACAAATGTGACAAAACTAAAACATAGACTTCAATTATGGTAGGATCCTCATTTCTGCCATCCTTGTCAGCCGTTACCCAAGGTTCTCGAGTTAGAACTTGCCAACAGCACAGGGCAGAGATGGGGTTGGCTGCTCAGGAACGCCAGCAGAGTGTCCACGCATTGGGGCTGGAGGAGGTGGCCTCTCAGTTCCCTCGAGCTCCGCGAGGATGAAGCAGCAAGGCCAGCAATGGCCATTCTGACGGTCACTGTCATGGGAGGGTCTCTTCACTGCAAACTGTGCAGTGGTGGTGGGAAGGGCTCCCCATGCCTGCAGTTGCCCCTGTGGGTCTGGCTGCAAAGCACAATCCACAGGTTGTTGCCGAGGTCCTTGCACAGAGACCACCCTGGGGTTTGGCAGTTGCCTGCCTGACTTGGACTCAGACACACACGCTATTGGAGCTCCAGGGACTTCAGAAACCAATCTAATGATAGTTCGTGTCATGCTTTGCAGCTCAGCTGCATTTTGTGGCTGTGGTTTCCTTATGTGAGTAAGGAAAAGTAAGAAAGTAAGAAAGTACTTTCTTACTTTCTGGCGTTCCTGGCGTTTGTCCACTGTGTGGAGTGGCCATTTTCTGTGATGCTGCTTAGAAGCAGGATTTGGGAGAAGATGGGCTGTATCTTGTCCTCCAAAGGATTAAGACGTGCGACTGTTGTAGGCTGGGGACCTCCTAATGTCAGACACGCAAGGCATTTTGCAGTCCCGTGAGGAAACGGAGGCCAAGGAGGACTGCCCTCCCCTCGGGCTGATGTAGAAGTTGTCTAAGAATTCAAGCAGCCGATGGCAGAGGGGCATTTACGTGGAGAAAGCTTAAAAATTGCAAATCACTCAAGTTTCCCCAGGTTAATCTTGCTTCCGGCAGGTACAAGTGGCTTGCTGCCTTGGTGAGTGAAGTAAGATGACCCCTCTGAGAAAGGAGGCTTTCAAGGACCCCGCTCCCAGTCTCTGTTTAAACCCACCTCACAGGGTGGTTATGAGAATAAGCTAATACAAGTCAAGATTAAGAGCATTTTTACAGGTCTGCAGATTTTTCTCTTTGAAAAGCCCTTATATATCCATCTAAACATGTCATTTTTCTTTCAAAGTTAAAAGTTGAGCTGACCAGTACTTATTAAAACAATTTACTTTCATAATCTCACTAGCCTGTAATTACCGCTCTTTTCTAAAATAGATTTCTAGGAATTGGGGAAAAAACAGCAGCAGCAGTCTTGGATATAGATTATTTTCCTTTAGGCAGCACTTTCGCAGTTGAACAAGGAAAGTTTTAAGAGATCAGTGGTTTTATCCAATTCATCTCCATTAGTGAAAGCTATTGATAGTGTATCTTAGTTCCTTATTCCACCATTGAAAACTGATCCTCCTAGCTGTTTTTCAGTTTTTGTGTTTTTTTGTCTCAATGATGAACCTGGACTCCAGCATAAAGTAGATAATTGTATATCGCTGACTTTTACCTGGATGCAGAACCATGCACCATAGCACTCTTGAGATGGTAACTCCTTCTCTTATGGAAGGAAACTGGAGGTCAATTATTATACTCAGGTAAGATAAGAGAAAAGGCATATTACATATATTTACCAGTATTTTGTGGTTACTGGATCTCAGCGTACATTCAGCCTTTATCCCTTCTCCAATTAAGCTTTCAAGAAATGGTTAAAATAGCCTTCTATGTTTCTCTTTTACTTAGCCAAGGAGAACATATTATATTTCTCATTTACTAGGGACAGAAAGTGTTACTGTATATTGATTCCTAAATTACACATGAGCAAGAGGTTGGTTGCATAGTTAATCCTCGTTCTTGTTCCAGGAAGCTGGATTTTGGTACATATGAGAAAGCTCACCCCTTTCAATTTCAGAAGAGGAATCACTGACCATAAGCATGTGGTGGGATTTCGCATTTAAAGACATTCTGTTGGGAAGCGGTCTTGCATGCATGATTTTCGCTTTTCCTCAGAAACATGTTTGGACCTGAATCCTCCAGAACCCTCAGTGCCCGCAGTTCTGCACTAAGGCCTCTTGTTGATGAAACCACTCTAAAGCATGAGGACTAATGAGATAATTCCAGAGTGCCTACCCTGGGTGGGCTCTGCGCTGTCTTTAGGGAGAGGGAGAGAAACAGCTTCATGGCAGGCACAGGAAAATGTCCTGGGGGTGTACTGGTTGTAATGTGGGCCCAGAGAGGGCGGAGTCATTCCGCCTGGGGTGAGGATGGAGGGAGTTAGGTTAGCAAAGGCCCCCTGAACTGATGCTTGAAAGGTGGTTTTTACCTACCTGATGCACTATCATCTTTCCCTTATTCCTGCCACCTCACCTGCTTCACCCCCAGACTTCTACTTCCACCACATGGGAGGCAGTGCAAGGTGAAGTGCTCTACACGGGACTCCGTGCGCCAGAATGAGACTTGACGTTCAATCTGACTTTGTATTTTATTAGCCCAGGGCCCCTCTCGGGCAGGTTATGCAGCCTCCCTGAACCTCAGGGGTTTTGTCTATTGTACTGACTTCTAGGGGTAGATAGAGTGAAATTAAAATATTGTACACGAAGTGTCTGCCTCTTAGTAGGTATCTGGAAGTTCATGACATATGCACAGCTGCAGTGTCTACCATTGACTGAGATGCTGGCCCGGGGCGAGGCCCCATTCTGCTGACGTCTTGCTCTTGCCAGCACACAGCTCTCCAAGGGCCTGCACTGCAGCAAGAAGAGCCACAGTGGCCAAACCGGGCAGGGTAGCAACATGTTTAAATGAACAAATCACGTCAATTCTGAAGTAACACTCGAGTTTACAGTTAATATGTAACCATTTTTCAGGTCACATATACAGTCACAAAACTGCCCAACAAACCCAGATGAGTTCATTTTTTAATGTAAACTTTCTACTGAAGTATACACATAGAAACATACCTAAACAGACAGTTCAATGAATTTCACAAAGTGTCCACACCTGTGCCATCACTGCCCAAATCAAAGAAATAGACTATTTAACCCAAGGGTAACCATATCCTTCCGTCAGCATGGATTGGTTTAGCCTGGTTTTGAACTTGATGTAAATGGAATCATACGGCATGTAGCCTTTTGTGTCTGGCTTCTTTCACCCAACATTCCATGACACGCATCTGCATTGCTTTGTAGCAGGTGTTCATACCGTCTTCATTGCTGTACAGTAGTTACCCATTCTACTGTTGATAAAGTGTGCGACTGTCTCCAGGGTGGCTGGGTTCCTAATGAAATCGGCGTCGTTCACATGTCTCCTGGGGCACGTACTTTTCATTTCTGCTGAGTGTGTGCTAGGAGTGGACCTGCTGGCATCAGGTATGTTTCAGCTGTAACAGACACAGCTAAACGGTTTTCAGAGTGCTGTTACCAGTCTACACCACCACCCTCAGCCTATGAGGGCAGATGAGTTCATTTGCCCAAAAATGCACTGAAATTTAATGTTTCTCCAATTTTCATCTCTGTGTCTGTCTCCTGAAAATAGCTGTTTGTTATTCAATGCTGTCAAGTAAAATCACTGGGGGTCACCACTAGATTATAAAACTGTGGAAAATGGGATCT